TTTTTTTTTTACTTATAGCATACAATGACAATAGTCTTAAAACTGACAGTTTAACAACTAATTAATCATCACCCCAAACAACACAGCTATTAAAAACCTGTTAGATGAGTATGAAAATCTATAATGAAAGGAAACCTACTGATGTCAGCAGCACAGTATTCGATGAAGGAGCCCGAGAAAGATCCACATCCTGCCAGAAAACATCTGAATTCAATATTTGAATTTCAGCTTTTCAGACAACATTTTTTGTAAATAAGATTGCTGTTTAAAAAGGTGACTCTGCTAAACACTAGTTTTACTTTATTCAAATGTTTAAATGTACTTTCAAGTTCTAAAAACAAACAAACAATCGAACAGAGATAAATACCGATGCGGATCCTATAGTCCGATATCAGTTCCAGAGACCAGGTAATAGCATTGCCATACTTCTCTTTTGCAATGTCCTATATAAAATAAATACACATTTTTCTTTAAAAAAATGTCTTGAAGTATATTCAGTATAGCAAATGTTTACTAATGGCAGGAATATGAAAATAGTAAGTACGCAATCAGAAAAAGCTAAATCAAAAGCAAGTCGAAGAGACTTTACCACCAATTTTTCATATTCTTCACAATCAAAAGGTTTTAGGGTTCGCAGAGATACAGAAAACCTATGGGTAAAAAAAAAAAAGAGTGAAGATGTTAAGACAGATCAAATTTACTATGTGGTGTACTATATGCACAAATATATATATTCTATATACACCATAGACTGTATAAAAACAATACACACACATATACACACTAAAAACAAGTGATATTAAGACTGATGAATTCTTACCCTTTTCTAATTCTCTTTTGGTCGATTAGGTAACAATCAATAAATACAATGCTGGCTTTTTTGTTCTTGCGATTCACACTTTTAACCTGTGGCACAGATGAGCAACTTGTCATCAACTACAGTCTAAAATCAAGAGTTACAAACTGCACAACATTAGGGGTGGGAGAAAAAAATGGATTCTCCGATGCATCGCGATTCTCTCTTCAATGATTCTGAGCTTGGTTTTTTTCCCCCGCAAATGGCACGTGTGCGCGCTAGAGATGCGGCGGGCTTCATTGCACTGAATTTGCGCTGTGAGACACGTGCGCATTGCTTGACAGTGTGTGC